TTTTTTTCAGGTCTGATTTTCGCTATTGCATAAATAGCGCTATCTACTGCGAGGATCGCACATCATACGTATCTAATACCGCAGTTCAAAATATATGAACTTCATATATTCATTGCATCTCATTTATCACTTTCACGGGTTTATTACGAATCAACAACGGCCTGCTCCCAGTTGGCTTGTTAGCTCAATTGGTAGAGCGCTGCACTAGTATCGCAGAGGTCAGTGGTTCGAGTCCCGTACAGGCCTGATTTTTTTCAGGTCTGATTTTCGCTATTGCATAAATAGCGAGGATCGCACATCATACGTAGTTAGCGCTATGTTAGCAGTGCTAAATTGAACACCAACATAGCGCTAACTCGCCGAAAACGCTTCAAAATGGCCTGAGACGCTAGGAATCAACAAAGAAAACGACAAGGCAATAAGATAAGCCCATTTTATTTCAAAACAAGACATTTTTTCTCTCTTTTAAGGCAAACCAATAACATCCCATACAAACCTTTATAAATATAAAACGTTGCGCAACACGGTAAGAGTCACGTCCGCTTTTCCAGTAGTGAGCTAGGGCTGCCTGTGACTTTTCCAGAACTTTTGAGATGACGTACAATATGATATCCCTCTACAGTTTTCAGCCATTTCTTTGTCGACAGACTCGAAGACTGGAACCAAGTATGCCAAAGTCCATATGCTTAGAAAACAACCACTACCCAGTTGCTTGGTGAACAAAGAGGTAAAAAGAGGAGTGGAAATAGAGCTTGCACATTCCTTCAACAGTTGTCGAATAGTTCTGCTTGCTCTTGAGCATCAAACACTTAAGCCCCTTTGTATTGCACAGAAGATGGAAGTCTTTTGTTCGTATATTCGGATTGAATAAGAGCCAAAATCCCTAGGGATTTTCCGTGAAAGCCTGGATAACGGTCCTGTAAAGCCTGTAGATATTTGTTTCCATTTCTATCTAATTAGTGACTTTCGAAATGTTTCCCAGTGGTGTTCAGGAAAGGATTTTTCTGCTTTCTTTCTGAGTCTCTCCTTCTTTCTTGTAGCTTTTGAAATTTCAGCGTCAATCCATCTAACGCTATTGGCGAATTTAACCTTGATCGCGTCTTAAAATGTTGTGACGATTGCTTGACTGGCCGTTTTCACCAGAAAGGATCCAGGGACAAGAAGTTTGTTTTCCAGTCCTCCTAATTCTTTTCAAATAAATCTCAAAGCTTCGTTTCGCACATCCCGTCAAAAAGGAAATAAAAGCCCTGTCCCGGCCTCGTAATCCCCCGTTTCGATAAGCGACCTCCCCTCAGGTACCAAAAGTAAATATAAGCGCCCTGGGTGCTAAAATCGAATCATTACGGTACAAATTTTAAGCAGAATGAATCATTTGATAGGTGAACGCGCCCCGGAAAATTATTGACGGCTGAAAAAGACTCGCAGAATGAAGGAAAGTCGTGAGCCTCATGAGACAACTGTATGAACCAAGGTGATACACTGCAACTTATTCTGTGGTATCAATTATCCACCTATCTTTCATTTCACCACAAATGACATGGCAAGGGGCCACCAAGTTCGTTAAAAAAGCTTTGGTTTGTCATCGTAACAGGAAAAGTAGACGCAGGGTCTAAACCTGTTCTGTCACGCGTTGCGTGACTCCCAGGCTAATCGGTCATGCTGGGTAATTTTTAGTTGCTAATTGAGTTGAAAGTTGCTAGCGGTGTAAAACACATTTTTGTTTCACCGCTTGAAAATTGTTAACTAAATCATGGTGACACTTCTGGAGACAGCCCGTTTTTTTTTGCGTTGACTATTTCTTTACTGTACGTAAAGTAACATTCAACGCAAAAACTACCAAATCGCTCAAATTCGCCATTTAGAACCACAGAAACGACAATACACAGCAAGTGAGGTAGGTTTACATTTATTTTGAGCCTTAACATAGACATTCCTTGATATAACTTTACGATATAACGACTCTTCAATAATCTCCCATACATTTCTTTCTATTTCGAACGAACGACCAGACACGCCGCTTGTGTGGGCTGCCTGTGGGTAAAATGGAGCGCGATAGTAATACATAAGGCGCGATGGTAGCTGAAGACCGAAAAAGGAGGGAGCAGGGTGAATTGGATGTATGTTTATCTTTTCCGAAGAGACGTCGACGAAGCAGATTTTTTAACAAACACTGAGTTTAA